CGGGGGGGGCGGTCCGGGCCGAGTACATGTTGTACTGTACTACATGTGTACAAGTATACTGTACATAATGTATTTGTACTACGTAGGAGCCAAAGACAAAAAGCACACGCACACGATAAGGAACTTCATTCACAAACTTTATTCAGACATTTCGATACAGTTATTAATCAAGATGTTGTTGTTGTTGTACATAACAACGTAACTCACGTTACTGTTTTCTTTTCTTTTTCTACAGGCACGAAAGCAACTTCAAAGTTACGGCTATTTTAGCGACATTTGCAATAGGCTGACGCTGTGCTAACATGAACATTACAGAATGAACTTGATGTACATCTACACAATAAAGACGTTTGTCGGGATTACGTTAGAATTTCTAGGTTACTAAAACAAAGCTTCACCAAAAAATTTAACGATACATAATCATAAAAGTAACCTGTAATTACATATGTCCGAAATTCCTGACATAACAAGTCGATAAAGTAAACAGAAAAGTCTTAATCGTACGTAACAACGTTGCAACGGAACAAAGGAAAACATAGCATAGCATAGCACCGGAGCGTGGTCAAATTTACGCTATCCCATTCCGACAGCCATAGCAAGACAAAACTTGAGCAAAAAGGTCTTCAAAAGCTACATCGATACGATACATAATCATAAAAGAAACCTGTAGTTCTGTAAGTCACAAATTCTTGTCATAACAGGTCGATAAATAAACAGAAAAGTCCGAAATTGTACGTAAAATGTTACACCAGAACAAAGGAAAACATGGCGCCGATGGCGTGGTCGATGCTATCCCGTCGTACATTGCGGTCACATTGGCGGCGGGACATTCAAATGTGTCACAAACATTACATTACAAAGTCTTATTTCTCGTGCTTACAATATTGTCCATGTCACAATAGTGAAAATCTTACTTGTTGCGCGGCTGGAAGAAGCTGGTTATCGTGGACTGCTGCTTCTTGGCATACAAGTTGTGATGGTAGATTTCCGCTTCCATGGTGGTGAGGGTGCCGTATTGAGCAAAGTCCCGCTCCTGCATCCAACGGCGCAGAACATCAAGGGCGTGGTGGACCTCTGCTGATGTTACTGCTGGTGTAGCGCTGGAAGTGTCCACCTCTTCGGTCTCCGTCGGCGTCTCGCCGGCTCCCCGGGCATCTCGCACCTCCTGGCACAGTTCTGCGTCGGTGAGTTCACCTGTGCACTCAAGGGCGGCATCGATGTCCACGAACCTGTTGAATTCTTCCGTAGACATTCCTGCTGGCGGCTCGACTGCGGCTTCAGGCTCATCCTGTACCTCGGTTCTGCTGAACCCACCCTTGCGGAAACAGTTCTGGATGGTTGTGTCGGTCACCTTCTTCCACGCTTCTCTCATCATGTAGATTGCGTCCAGTACCGTAGTCTTCTTAGCGAGCTGGGCTGCAGATTCGACCTCCAGATCATCCACCGCGTGAATGATGCGCGTCAGCATCTGTGATCTGTAGAGCGACTTGAAATTGCGAATGATGCCTTGATCTAGCGGTTGTAGGATGGACGTTGTGTTTGCGGGTAGGAACACCAGCCGGATGTTCCTTAGCTGCACGTCTGGGTGGGCCGTACAATTGTCAAGGAGCAGCGCAATGTTCTTCCCTTTTCGGCCCATCTCACGGTCGATCTTCTTCAGCCAAGCTCGGAACAGTTCACCTGTCATCCAGGCCTTCTTGTTTGCCTCGTATGGCAGTGGGACGCGCTTTCCTCTGAAGCATCTGGGATTCTTGCTGGTCCCGATGACGAGCGGCTGGAGTTTGTGTGTACCGGTCATGTTGGCTGCCAGCAGTACAGTGAGTCGCTCCATGGCCTTCTTTCCCCCGTCGACCGCCTCAGTCTTCTGGCACAACGTACCCTTGGGCAGGGCCCTGTACAACAGTCCTGTCTCATCACAGTTGTACACGTTGTCAGGGTCGAATTCTTCCAGAATCGTCGGCAGAACGTCTCTCGTCCAGTCCTGTGCAGACTGCGTGTCAGCGTCTTTCTTCTCCCCATGGGCCCTCTTGAATACGATATCGTTGCGTTCTTTCCAGCGACTCAACCAACCGTCGGTTGGGTTGAAGTCAGTTATCCCCAAGGCCTCTGCAAGGCCCTTGGACTTCTCCTTCAGTATAGGCCCAGAAAGAGGAAAGTTCTTAGCCCTTGCGTTGAGGAACCAGCGATACAAGGCCTCTTCGACGTCTCCGACCTTGCCCTCTCTCTTCCGCTTCCGGTTGGGGTTCTTGTTGGCTTCCCACTGTTGTAGGATGTCCTCCTTATTCTTGTACGCTCGGCAGACCTGCGGCTGTGAAACACCAAACCTCTTGGCGACTTCTGTCTGTGACACTTTCGGCACGCCGTCCAGCAGTTGAATGACCTTAACTTTGTCAGCTAAAGTCAAGTCCTTCCTAGTCTTCCTCGGCGTGGTGGTGGACATTGTGAAAACTGACGTGACGCACTCGGACATGAACTCAAAAAGAATGAGACAGAAGATCGAGGGAACCCCATTTTTATTGAGTACAGTAAGTTGTCTGCTTAAACTTCAACAAAGGAAATAAAAAACTCTTGATAGTCAATCATAAGCCGTGCGTGTTCCTTTGCAGTGCCGACTCCCCTCCCGCGCCGCTTGCGTGCGGGCGGGCGGTCCTTTGTAGTGCCGACTACCGCCGGAGCCGCCGACTACCGCTCGCTTGCCGGGATTCTTTGTGGCCCCAAACAGACAATTTCGTTAATTTTGATGGTTTAGTGGCTTTACACAAACATTTCATACGATCCTTGCTGACTCTTAACGTATTTTTTCTGGACATTATACGATAGAATCGGACCAAATTCTATACGATACGCCGGAATATACGATAATGCGCTATACAATTATGCATTGTTTTTACAATGGTGTGAATGGTAAATGGTTTGGGGTTTTAGAATTCTATACAAATACCCGAATTATACAAATAAAAGGTATACAAATAAGTGGAATCCCCTGTATCTTGTTTTCTTTCTTGTTCTTCAAGTGTAAAATCATGACTACCACCAGTACTTGTTACATAGTACAAAAAAGGGCTACTTTTGAAATAAAATATCTTCAACATTCTGCAGTTGAAAGAACGTTTGATGGAATGAATTTTGACAAATGCATACAATCACAATTTCTGCAACTTGACCCTCTTTAACTGACCAAGCAATGCAACAAATATACATGTATCATTGCATCATGAACTTCTGCACACAACTGTACCCTTTTTTTTACCATTTTCCAATAGCTTTAGTCAGAAACCTATTGCCGCAATCACAGTTCAAATACAGAGATTTTCAGCCAAACTCGCAAAATAACTTGTTTTAGGGGCAGAATTCACATCCCAGACTGTGTGGTGTGTTTACTTCCTTCACATATCAACCTTATGTGATGGTGGTAATATTTTGTTACAGATGACAGTACTGGGTATATATGATTGTATTTCATACACAGAAAGTGTCATTTAATATAAAACACTGTGCAAATACAATATGGTAAGTAACCAACTAGCCACCATGTACAAATCATAGTAAAGTGTTGAACATTATTCGAACATGAATATAGAGAGATAAAATTTCCGATGACCACAGTTGCCTTCATCAGGACAATTAATGACCAATTTCTTCCGAACGTAAAGTAACTCTCAATAGTTACAGTTACAACATAGTGCCAGGTAGTGTACAATGTCCGCTGTTTCTATTTGATCCCTCTGCACTTATTGTGTTGGAATAAAGTTCAACATTCTGCTATGATTACTACCACCACAGAGGAACTTTCATGATTATGTACAAATCACTACAGAGTCTAACACAAGTTGTGAAACTTACACCTTATTAAGATCTCCATTTTTCCTGTCGTCCTCTATTTTCATCTCTGCTAACGCCCTCTTAGACTCTTGGTGCTGCTTCTGCATTTCCGAGTGGCGTACTTTCGTGTACGCCGCCGAACCCCCCATCACCAGAGCGTTACTCAACCACCACAGGACGGTTTTCACGTCATGAGAGTGCACGACGGCTATAACGGTCTGTGCGCACGCTTTCGCGGTCCCGCTTATGTTATGTGTGAGAGGGCTGGTGACTTTAATCTGGAGTCCTGTGATGTAACCGATAGCAAAGCCGAACACACCGGATAGAGTCATGAGGGACCAGAACTTGGAGGACGTGAGGTGGGGAAAGTTAGCGAGGACGGAAGCTTCACCGAAGATTAGGATGAGAGGGATGAAGAGGATGACAGCGTTGATGTTGTTGTAGTACGTGAGGCGCCACACGTTACTGTCCACACATGGGAGGACCTTCTTGGTCATGATGGAGTTCAGACAGACAAACAGACTGGCACCCACACCGAAGACCACTCCAATCACGGACAGGGTACCTGCAAGTAAACACCAAAAGATTGTAAACATTGTTACATATGTAACAATGTGTGTTGTTAGTATTAGTAAGCATTGTATTATCGCCGGTTCTATCCCCTCCCTCGGGCGGAGCCGCGGTCACCTGTTCGAACACGTGCCAGCGCACGTGCCAGTGTCGTGTTCGAACAGGTGATCTATGCTGGTACCGCTCGAGGGAAGGGGCTGTAGAACCGGCCGGTTACAAATGGAATAAACCAGTTGAGTGCGTTCACTGTGAGTGGTCGCCTATCTTTACACATATATGCAACTTTCTGGACTTCCCATTGTCTTTATGAGAAATTGGCAAATATATTTTCATACTTTATGACTTGACAAGTAAAGCTGTTTTGAGAAAAAAGATTTAAAGAATTACAGTACTAAGATTTTCTTTATAATTTACTCGGGTATAGGTTTGGGTCTTTCTGTCATTTCTGCTGGAAATTTTTTTTTATGGGAATAAAAAATTCCCAATTTTGTGCATTTTGAAAATAATATGTATTGTTTTTTCTGTTGGTTTTACAAAAATTAAAGAGGTTGAGTCCTGTAGCTGAAGAAATATCCTTTTGTCCCATATACAGTTATTTTCCTTCCAAATTATTCCACGGCAGAGACAGTCGCTAGATTTTAGGGTGTGCAGCTTTGATTTGATTTGATTTGATTTATTAGAGTTGCAACAAGTACAATACTCGTGGGCCACAGGCAGCGGGGGCTGGTGTTGTGGCCCACACACAAAACAATCACAAGCACGCAAACAAGACACACATTTAAACCTAGTATATGTATATAAAAATAAGTATAAGGGTACTAAAAATAGCATGGAATAGCTTTGAATAGAAGCGCCAAATTAACTGGGGTGTGCCCCCTTAAGTATCCGTAATCTGTAGGCAGTCACCCAAAATCAATGTAATTTGTATCGGTACATTACCCATAACATGTAATTGTCATTGTCAGAGACTGAAGTTGTACCCTCGAAAATTTGGGTAGGTCCAATTCTTTGTGTTGGAAATAATTACAGTTTAAACCTCCTATATAATGACATCTACCACTACAGATGAACTTTTAAGATAAGGTGTTCCCCTGAGTGTACTGACCTGCTGCCCCCTCCTGGTCCACCCCCAGTACAAATCCTGAGATGATGACCAGACAACAGATGATGGCCTTGAGTGACGTTGTCTGCTTCAGAACAAAGTAGGTCAGAACCTGGAGGGGAAGGAGAGCAAGAGAATCTTCAAAACATTCAGGGTATACGTCGATGTAGGTTATAGCCCCACTGTGTCATACATTTGGGACCTTTCACCAACCTTGCCCCCAAACACCAGCAGACTACAATTGGCTGAATATGAAGTTTGGGAGCAGTCTGGCGAGATTTAGGCACACCTATTTTTATATACCAATACGAATTGAAACAAATTTGAGTTAAAGTTGAGTAAAATTTGACCATCGAACACACACCTACATTTTGTAACACTACTCCTGAATGGCTGTCTGGTGTTCTGCTGATTTACAGTTGAATACCAGCCAACCATGTTCGAACCTCCAGACCAACCCCCGAATGTTTGAAACATTTTGAAACACTTTAGATGACGCCGTCAAATAGTATCATAATACCAGCCGACTTACCTTGACCTACTCCTAACCAAGGTTAGGGGGTGCTTAGCTAGTGTTTGGTGTTTAGCTAGTACAAATTTGTGAATGTGTGACAGAGGCTTTAAACATCCAGGTAATGAGATACACAAGGGAACTACTAGTAATATTACCCAAGTGACTTGACAGGTTTCCAAAATCTATATCCAGCTGCTTGCTAATTGAGTAACACTAACAGTTTGCATTAAAGCTATAGAAGGTTGATTGTCCGATCCACAATATCATTTTCTCAGGTTTATTTAGTGAACCCATTTTTCTTAAATTTCTGTGATAACTATGAAAACCTACTTATGTATGTTTTTCATCTACATGTATTACTACATCCAATAAGGTTTGTACGACGTAAGATCGTCGTAGTTTGTACGATTGTAAGATTGTAAATACTTTAATTTGTTGAACCAAAGTGATACCATATCTGTAGAGTCCGACAGGATTGTAATTTTGTATTTCCCTACTATTAATTAATGATTTATATTGTAAACAAACATCAGAATTCAGCCCTGTATGTCAAGGCTGCGAGATATGTTGTTGATACGTTGATACAAATAAACCAATAAATAAATACATCCAAACTCACCACGTTGAATACTGTTGTGAGTGATCTGCCCACAGTGTAGAAGGCCACGCCCACGTACTTCAGACACAGGTTGTTAAACGTGATCATTCCAACAAACACCACGGATAAGGGCAATACCTGCAGGGGGGAGGGTGGTGAACAAAAACACAAACATTTGCGTGTGAATAAAAAAAAGTTTGGCAAAAATAAACTTGACTTCTATTCATTATGAATTCTACGTGGTCATGAAGGTTGAGCAAATGACACATTAAATTTAAACACACCGAGTATGGTATGGCGAATAATAATAGACTCATTTTCATTTCTTCACATTTTCTTCTTTTCCTTTGCAATTGACTTTGCCATTCTATGTCACAAGTATAGTTTTCCAATATTTTTTTGCAATATATTTACTCTTTTTGCAGTGGCTTTGTAGACTTAAAGTATGGCAGAGAAATGGAAGCGGATAAAAAAATTACTGCACACGCGGATATCATCCATATTATTTATCAATCAAATCGACATGGCCTATAAATATAATGTATGCGTCCCCACCTCCCGGGATATCTTCTTGTCCAGGTGCACAGGTGGGAAGGAGATGACACCTGGCACCAGCCTGGAGAGGAGTCGGAGCAGCAGACACAACAGTACCGACACCAGGCACTGGTAGAACGTGATGAACAGTGGAGCCTCCAGCTGTGGAATAACACGTATAACAGAACAGAACAGGTCAGTTTCTGTGAATAGCTTCATCAGGTTGGTAAGTCACTGAATAAAGAGACTCTTTTACACAACCAAAAGGCAATGTTTTGGTGACTGTCTGTCATCTTCCTCATCAGGGCATTGTAGATTAGCCTTCATAGCATGCCAAAAACTGGGGGTCTTTAGGGTCTTTGGGATCTTTTATGTGCTATTTTCAGATTGTATATTGACAACATAGCCGGCCTGATTGAACTACCCTCAACTGGGCTAGCTGATCAGAAAACAGCCAAAGACCACCAAACCTCCAGTTCTATAAGCCTGCTATAGAGGCTAATTGTAGATACTGTTTCCTCTAAATATGTAGAGATGTAAATAGTTTGCGTTTAGGAACACATTTATAGCAGTGACGCCTATGCAGTGCAATGATGTGAACCTAAGTCAGAATTGCCCTGAGGAAGGACATAAGGTCACAAAAATATCGGCTGAATAAAACACCAGTCCTAGTTGTGTAAAGGGAGTCTCTTCATTCAGCTTATTGTTAGCACTTGGGTTAAATCAAACAATTCTGCTGTATATCTATAAGATTCTGGAGTGGTATGATTGGTCAGAAAAAAAAATTAAATTCAGAATGATTGGCTACTTTCTGACCTATGGTCTATGTCTTCTGAGTATAAATAGAACAAGGTGTTGGTTGTTTCGACTTATATTTTTATAAAATTCAGTTGTAAACAGCTACTCGTTCAAAAAGGGCTAGAATACTGCCACAACTTGACAACACAAGTACTATAGGGCTCAAAATACCAGTGAAGGTTAGGTACAGGTAGACATCAGAAATACCTGCACAGCTCCAATTTTACCTGCACTAACCTGCATATACCCAGTACATGGACCAGTGCAGGTTAGGTGCAGGTAGACATCAGAAATACCTAGCACAGCTACAATTTTACCTGCACTAACCTGCATATACCCAGTACATGGACCAGTGCAGGTTAGGTGCAGGTAGACATCAGAAATACCTGCACAGCTCCAATTTTACCTGCACTAACCTGCATATACCCAGTACATGGACCAGTGCAGGTTAGGTGCAGGTAGACATCAGAAATACCTGCACATCTCCAATTTTACCTGCACTAACCTGCATATACCCAGTACATGGATCAGTGCAGGTTAGGTACAGGTAGACATCAGAAATACCTGCACATCTCCAATTTTACCTGCACTAACCTGCATATACCCAGTACATGGACCAGTGCAGGTTAGGTGCAGGTAGACATCAGAAATACCTGCACAGCTCCAGTTTTACCTGCACTACAGTAATACATGCTGGTGGTATTTTGAGCCCTGAGTGATCTGTCTCTATCTATGCTGAAAACTAATCTTTTCATGCAACATTCTAATATAATTAACACTATAACAGGAGTGATAGAATCAAATTAATGACAGACAAAACCTGCACACAATATTGCAGAGGGAGACAGCATGTGAAGACAAATTTTTGAAAAGTGGCTTCTTGTAATTCGGAATACATAGACAGTAACAAGTGATTATATTGGTTAAGACTAGTTTGAGCCAAATTAGAAAAGGGACAATACAAAACAATAGAAGTCTTGGGCATCAAGGCAGAAAAATGGAAGTGCTTTGTCGATTGCGTGGTAGCATGGTGGTACTCAAAGTTTGAACAAAATTCATCAAATGATGTTCAAAGCAGATGTTACAAAAAAGTTAAGGAGTCGTAAAATTATTTCTACATGAGCAGAACGGCAGCTTGAAGAACTGATGAAAAGTTTGGATGAAAAGTGCAAAAAAAGATCAGTGTTGAAATTGAATCAATCAGCATCATCTGAGATAGCTCAAACAGTCTGTCACAAACCATTTTCCCCTCACTTGCTGTCTTCAAACTCTGTTAGTGAGGAATAACAGCAATAAAATTGAGTACAAAATGAACTGTGTACAAATATTTCAACATTCTACAATCTATTCTGTCAGCAGACAATATTCAGACAATATATTCAACTTGTACTCAAACCTCCTACCTTCTAAGTAAAGAGACACAAATTCTATTTTGTAAACATTGTGAATGTGAGGTCCAATATACGCATGTACAATAGCTCAAAAGACATACACAAGACTTTGAAAGAGTGTGTCATGTGCATCGGCCATACATTCTAGGACAACAATTTAAACGTCATTATGAAAGGGTGGGGTGCTCATTATATCACCAAGGACATCACGTTATCCTTTATATTAGCCGCGGCGACTGTTGCAGGGCTTCTCTTGCTTGCAGTCTTTTACATTAGCCCTAACAACAGTTGTTAGGGCTAATGTAAAAGACTACAAGCAAGAGAAGCCCTGCAACAGTCGCCGCGGCTACCTTTATATCACTTTACACTTTCACCTTTTAGACCTGGTTACAGCCCTATCATGTTTCCAGGTCATACCATCTCCTTAAGAAGTGGTTACTATGCTTGCATTCTGTACCTGTTACATGCAATTTGGTAGATATGTACTAGTTAATTAAATTGTAACAAATACAAAGAAATGATTGGCCTACCTTCAGTTCTTCTCCACTCAGTAGGTACTTGTTGAGAAACACCATAGTGATGGACACGACCCTGTATGGTAACAGGAGGGAGAAAGAACAGTCAGAACATTCAATCAAAGGTCGAAGAAGCCGATAGACTCTATAACGTTATCTAACTTATTTTCCTAAGAGAAATATCATTTATCATACCAGTGTAAAGAAATAAGCAAGTCTTAGCGACACATGAAAAATTTACTTAAAACCCATTAAATTGATTCATAATACAGCATACTAGTACAAATGTTAATTGATTGTCTAAGGCCTCTGCAACGGAAAATTCCAAATTAAGGCTTGTAGCCAAATAATTTGTCTTTATACCACAGAACAGTGTAACTTGTGTTATGTATGTTGTGTTTGTTCATGTACCTACATGTATTTACAGTACTTAGGAAAACATCACCTGGCTTAAAGTAAAGTATCCTGGAAATACAGTATAATTACCAACTAATTGAAATCTGACGTTATACGTTTTCTCCTAAATCTAACACAAAGTCTCTGAGTTTATACATAACGTTAGATTTTGTAGGAAAGCTACTGCAGTACTAGTATTTTCGATGCCATGATTGTTATAATTGCACTGCCACGTCTACACCCAACACAGTTTAAACAGTACCACAGATTAAATCTCTCTAAGCTTGTTGTCACAGATTACAAGAAAATAATCCTAAGTGAACACAAATTATATCTCACCAATAAGCCGAGACCACCAGTGCGATCTTCAGAGATTTTCTCAACATCGACTCTTGTTGGACGTTCTCCATGGTTCTCAGGCCGTAGTTGTACCCGCTCTGCGCGACCCTGGAGTACTTAAAGGCCCCCGAACTGTCCCCCCGGGGCATCCTGCGCATCAGACACCTGATCTATTGAACAGAAACAAAAGGTAGACAACAGGTTGGACCAGTTCAGGTTTACCTGTACCGGGCTGATTTGGATGACCCTCCCCTCTCCGGGAGGTATCTCGACAACTATTCGTATACGTGGATACGCGTAACTTTAACAACAAAAATTGTCTTTAAATGTTAAAATTATTGATGTTTGTAGGCTGATATATCCATTAAAAATATCTTAATATAACTTGTGACATTGAAATTATTCAGAATGATTATTTTTCAAGGATTAAATATTCCCTATATGCCTTAGACTCTATGTGACAAATAAAGAGCTATTTTTTTACTGAACGTAATTTTACGACAATCGTATATTTCTTGTTTTCTCACTGTCAAAATAATGTAGATATGTAGATATTTGCTGAAATATCAATATGAAAATGCAAACTATCCGCAATAATCTATTGAAATCATTATTACAGTGGACTAGACATCTATTTTAGACAGTACGATTTACGGTAACATCTGTTACAGTTCAAAGGTCACCAGCTGACTGGGAGCTTTTTTTTCCAAAAAAAAAAGAGACGTGGCGAAACTTTTTCCTGCGTTTAAAGCTATTTTACAGCAATCTGAGACACGGTAAGCTTTGAACAAGTACGCTATAGTCTAACCATATCTTTGAGCTAGGATTTTATTTGAACATCGGAGTTTAGGGATAACGAAACGTACAAATATCTGCTAGCTAGTGTAGTGTGCAATTTCTTCATGATGTTGCATGTTCTTTCGTTGCATCATGTTCAAGTCAAAATGTACAAAACTGTGATGCATAAAACAGGAACTGCTCACCATGTTCTCACCTTTTCATAGACACCAGAAGTCAGTAGTTCTGCAGCTGCACTGTTCTCAAACCATACAGGGCAGCTAGCACGTAGACCAAAATAACGGTCCCTATAATTATATAGTATAAATTTGATTGTATGGATGACAGCCACGCGTACATGAATATTCGTCCGTTTCCAAAAAAAGGTTATTTTCGACCTACTGTAAGTTGTACAAAGCAGCTGCAAAATTAACAAATATATTGCCTTACATTGAAAAAAGAAAGGAAAATGATACGTCGTAATATGGAAAAAATATGAAAAAAATGTGAAGAGGTGAAAATTAAGTCTATTATTTGCCATACTGTAATCTGTGTGTTTAGTCATTTGCTCAACCTTCATGACCACATAGATTTCATTATCATAAAGGCAACGTATTTTGCAAAACTTTTTTTACTCGCACACATGCAGTTTTGGGGTTCCCAGAGGATGTCATCCATGTAATCAAATCAACATGGCCTAACGGTCTGTAATAATGCTCTGTCTATGACCAGGTGATGACGAAGTTACTGCAGTGGTTGTTGGGTGTGGGACTGCTCCTGGGTACATGGGCATGTCTGGTGTGGGACCTTGTACCAGCACAACTCTCACCACAGTGGAAGGAGGTCGTCTGGGTGGTCAGTATCTCTCATGAGTATAAAGTTGTTTTATCTGGAAATTCATAATAACTTTTTGTATGGGATTTAAGAAATTGTCAGTGGCGCAGTTTGGGCATTGGACTCAGAACTGATATGTCCCGAGTTCAATTCTCACAGTACCCCAATGCTTTGCCCTTTTGAAAGAAAGGCACTTTACACAACGTTACCTTCCCCGACAGTGGAGTGATGCCCTCTGAGCCTTTTTTGGCTAATCTGTCTCAATGTGTGCACAAAACACTATAGATTTGGGGAATTGGTGCACCAATGTGCTTTAACATCTGAACATTTGCCACCAAGAACCGTAAGATTTAATTTTTTTTAATCCTTTTTGGTTTGATCCTTTTTTTTTACAGTCAGGAACCTCCTTGGGAATATACATTTGTTCATTTCTCTCTCTCTCTCTCCCCTCCACAGGCACCCATGTATCTTCTCATGAGTTTTGCAGTAAGTATCCTCTACTCATCAGGACACTTGTTGCAGCCAAGCAGATGTTGGAGAGAGCATTGTGAACATTCTATCTTATGTCCCATTTTGCTGTTGCTACTCCGTAACCAATGGGGTTTCCAGAGTGGGAGTCGCAACAGAAAAACGGGGCATATGATAGAAAGTTCACAATACTCCCCACCAACCTCTGCTTGGAAGATTACTAATAGCTGTGAATGATGCCATAGATCTAGAGCATTATATTAATGAAAGGCATTTACATACAGAGGTATAGAGGCATCCCCTAATATACATGTACATACATGTAATTATTTATGTACAGTCAGTACTATAGTTTACTGAAAGTAGGCCAATCATATATTATTGAGCAATTGATGATATTTTATAAATCCATTCTACATACACATTTTGTAACACTACTTGAGCCTAAACTCACAGGCTGATTGTAACACCTTGTCAAATCAGCACTCTGACACAAGAAGGTTTAACTCTAGATGAAATATATTCTAAATTCGAATTCAAGCTACAACATACAATTGCATTGTTTGCTCACTTTGCTGTAAACCGTGTTATCACATAGAATTACAGGTATGTATTCATTTACTAATCCCCACCTTTTTCCTTTATTACAGTGCTACTCATTAGCAACTATTGGCTACAGAGTTGCCACCTTTAATGACTGTGAAGATGCTGCCAAAGAGCTCCAACAGGTCAGAACTCTCATGATGCTTCTTAAAGGCATCCAATGCAATTTCAGGGTAGCAAAACGACAAAAAAAAAATACTCTAGATCTAGATGAGGAAATTTGTCTGATACTATATAATTATATATAGATATTTACAGTGCATTCCTTAGCACATTTTTTCCTTCATTTTGTATACTTGAAGTATTGGAAATAGCCCCAAAACAAGCTATGTGAGGAATCACTTTATTTTTGGGTACCACTCATACATGTAAATAGCTAAAAGCAGCACGATACAAAACAAGCAACCATTTCCCAATAGTAACATTACACTTTTGCCTCACAGATATCAGTATGCTTTAGGATAGGTTTGATTCAGCTTAGGCCATGTTGATTTGATTATATGGATGACATCCTCGTGTGCATGAATTTTCGGCCGTTTCCAAAAAAAAAAGTTTTCAACCATACTGTAAATCGTACAAAACAGTTGCTAAATGAGCAAAAATATACCATAAGTTGCAAGGAAAACATTTAGAAACGATACCAATGTCGTAGAATGCCAAAATCAAAGGAAAAAAGACAAAAATGTAAAGAAATGAATTCGAAGAGTAGATTATTCGCCATAACATATTCTGTGCCATTTCTTCAACCTTCATGACCACGTAGATTTCATAGTGAAAGCTAACTTTTTTTTTTTGCAAAACTTTTTTTTTATTTGCACGCGCGCATCAGTTTTGGGGTTCCCAGAGGATGTCATCCATATAATCAAATCAACATGGCCTTACTACAATGACCAGAAAATTGACTTTGAAAATCCAGTTTTGCTGCCCTGAAATTGCATTGGATGCCTTTAAAGCTGCAGTACCCTGTGCTTCAATCTTTTAAGGGGGCACACCCCAGTTTATTTGGGGCCTCTATTCGAAGCTGCACACCCTCAAATCTAGTGACCGTCTCTGGCGTGGAATAATTCGGAAGGAGAATAACTGTATATGGGACGAAAGGATATCTCTTCAGCTAAAAGACAAGCTGAGTTTGGTTTCTTCAACCTTTTTAAGTTTGGTAAAATCAACGGAAAAAACATTATTTTCACTCCAAAATTAATGCCCAAAATTGCGAATTTTCGCATAGGATAATCCCCCCCAAAAAAATTTTCCGGCAGAAATGACTGATGCTGGCAGAAAGACCCAAGCCTTGACTATACCCGAGTACATTATAAAGAAAATTCTAGTACTGTAATTTTCTAAACAGTCCATGGCGCGAGGGGTTGCAAATCCACCCCTACGAAGCCGCAGAGCGAAAACTAGGTCAAATGGGCAGATTACACTTGGCGCGCAAGGATACCCGGAAGTAAGGTTCGGAGCCAAAAGAAATTTTCACCCCAAAATCACCATTTCTTACACTCTGCAGCCATGTTAATGTTTAATGATACTTCGTGGCAGTTTATAAGAAATGTCACCTCAAACTTGGACCCTCAAAACCCTTTCGTTACTTTTTTACAACGGACTATCGCGGACCCCTGTCGCGGAAGAACTGGGGTGTGCACCGTTAATCATCAATTCAAGAAGTCTACATATTTGTTTATCTTTTATTTATGTTTAATGTTGTCTTTAATGTCACTCTTACAGGAAATTGAAGAGGCAAGAAGAGACTTGGCTAAGAAAGGCTTGAAGCTTTCCTGATTGGCATTTTTGTAATGTTAGATATTTGTTCTACAATGTAATTGAAGAGGACCAAACTACATAAGTAAAGACACACTGGCAATTGTGTAATAAGTTGACTTTTAATGTATGATATCAATGTCTGTATTTTCTATGACCTTGCAAAGATAAGGCCTTGATTTAGAGTTGTATCTGATGAAGATAATTAGGATGTCTACAGTTGGCAACTTCTTGTTCACTGCATGTACCGGTAATTCACAAAAAATGTAACTACTTTTAGAGTAATTTGTAGAATCTACAAGTAAGTGTAAAGTATTCTGCCTGTTAGGACATTAACAATATCGTAGATGGCAGCACATTTTTTTTGATAGTATGAAGTCAACATAAATAAAATGATGCAGCAGACAAATGAATTTAAAACAAGTTTAGCTTAAGTAAGAAGTATCAACAGTTATAGTAACAAATACAAGCAAAGCAATAACATATTGCAAATATAATTTCAATCTAGAATAATGTAGAGCGAGTACATGTATTTTTCTTGCAGCTTTATACCATATGCTCTGGAATGAATGTTGCACAATTATTGCAGATTAAGAAATAATTTATGGTTAAAAAAAAGATAGCGCACTATATATCTGTTTTGTATTATCATTCTGCTCACTGTGTCAAAATAGAACCTATCAACTTTTTATACACTGTGTCTATGTCATGTTTTATATAATATCTTAAATAGCATCTGTGTGGTACTATAGACATAGCAGATCATAGATTTTCTTATTTCAGTATCATATCAGAATCATATATTATAGATACTGACATTTGCACACATCTACAAGTATTTGTGATACCTGGAAAATTGTTAGTTTCAAATGCAGCAAACATTGGACTCAATTGAGTATTATATTCAGTATCTAGGTACTAATATGGGAGGCAGCTAGCCTGGAATCCAGTCAGGTCAGCTTTGGTCCACTCACAAAGTCTCTTCCCTGCCACTTTGGGGGTGGACCAAAGCTGACAAGACTGGATTCCAGGCTAGAAGGCAGCAGCAGGAAATTTGCAACGTTTTTGTTAGCCACTATAGCCTGACTAATAAGGCTTTCCGATTGAACATCAGACCTCTTTGTGTACTAATTTGGTCAGAACACTTCCCTGTAATATCCAGAATTTATGTACCACCTTAAAGGCAACCAGTGCAGTTTTTAGGGCTCGGAAACCCGAGTTGAAACCACACTATCCTAATGTATATTGACCTTCATGGAGTAAAAATACCCAAAATTCTGACGGAAAATGGTTACAGGACGGGCCCTGGTCTGCTTTTTAGGGTACCACCCAGAAAATAAAGGACTCATCTTGGGGCTTGTTTCTGCAGTTTTAAAAGCCCAAAGTAAGAAATACTGACTCAAATGTGCTAATGTGAAGCAGTGTGTGTCAATATGCATAAAGATTGCCTTATTCACAATATTTCCAGTTTTGCTCACCTGAAATTGCATTGGTTGCCTTTCATGACATTAGCCAGCCCTTAAATTATTCTCCCCTTTTAGCCTTGATTACACATTGCCCACTAGTAGTAGGGTCTGTGAAAGGTCTACAGTTCTACAATTGACTAGTGTTCATAGTACTGCGTACCTAAACCCACATTTAGGTTCAGGTCCAGATTCAAGTCCAGAGGTTTAGCTTCAGTTCTGGAATTGTAAGTCTGGACCTAAACCCATGGCAAATACAAAATTGCACTTGGCAACCTTGCAATGTTGTCTGGGTGAAACTTTGGCCACATAACATGGAGCCCGTTACTTGATGCCCGATGGCAATGTTTTCTTCATTTTGCAGATTTTGCAATCTACGGAAGGTTTTAGATGGTTTGGAAAGAAAAGGGGTGTGTGAAATGATCTTTTATGGTAATAAGTCCGGACTCGGTTCTTGACTTTTAGGTTTTATGGGACTTGAACCTAAACATTCTTACAAGTCTGGATCCAAGTCCAGTGAACCGGTACACAGCACTAAGTGTCCATCAGACCAGGGTTCTAGCGACAAGTCACAAAGTTCCCACAATTGACGGAAAAACGGGTGCTGGCTAGACCCCTGCATCAGACCAAGTCTGACCGTGTGAAGATGTCGGGAAAGTCTGCCCAGATCTGACCAACGATGAACTTGTCGGCCTCCCCCTCCTTCTCCTCCTCCCGCTGGATGGCCAGGAAGCACTGCTGCAGGTCGTCACGGCGATGACGATGCTCGCGGTACGACGTGTTCTTCACGATACTGTGGAACAGGGACAGGTGCTCTGTTCTGATCTGTGTGGGGGGGGCAACAATGGGATAACAATGATGACAGATGAA